CCCCAAAACCCCAAAACCCCAAAACCCCAAAACCCCAGTATTCACCAAAGATATTGAAACTTGATTTATTTCTAAGCCGCTCCTTCTGCTCCTTCACCTCCAATCTTAACACCTTGACCAGAGAATGCTTTGAATTTTGAATTTCCTCCAGCATTGTTCGACACAGGTGCTGAGTTTCCTGGTCTGGCTTGCTCATTCTGTTGAGGACTAAAGCTTGGAGCTCCCATGCCAAGTATTCCTTCTCCTCCATTATAGGCTCTAGAAGCATCTTGGAGTTTGACAAAACTGTCAAAGTCTCTACAAGAGGAGGCAAATAAAAAGCTGTCTTCAAGATATTTAGCAGTATCATCTCCGATTTCAAAGCAAGAAAGAATATCGTAAACGTATAAATAGCCAACAATAAATCCTGAAATTATTGCTGGAGCTCCTAGCGGGTTGATAATACTGAAGATTATCACGTAAATCCAGGGGTGATATTTAGCCTTGATAGCAAAAGGACATCAGCAAAAGTTTCTATCTTGATCTAAAAGTTTGGAGGAAGAAGTTACCTGGAACTCTGTTTCAATCGATTACTATTTCAGCGATGATTATTGGCCATATTCCTATAGATAAGAGCACTGCCTACCGATTGATACAAAATAACTCCAGTAATCAGTCACATATTTGAGAAGATAAGTCACCCCAAGGAACAAGAGCTGGATAATCATGTTCATTATGGTGAATTCTACAATGATCTTTACTGTACCGATAGCTTTCTCTCTTATAGACCCACTTGGGATGTAAGCTAAGAGTACGAAGAACAACAATAGCAGCATTGGGTGTACATATGGTGCAGTGAAAATTCTCCACACTAAATGTCAGATTAATCAATACTTACCTTCCATGTGATCTACAGTTTGAATATAACTATTCTGGGCTTTCTCATCAAGAGGATATACCCAACAGAGTAAATATACTATGGGAAGAAATGCTAGTAAGAACCTATTGTAAAACGGTATTTTTGCCCAAAAGTCTTTAACATAGTCCATTCATCCCTTCCCGGGTTCAGGATCCTGTGGCGCATTATTCATATTGAACATTTTCAATTTTATTATTAAAAACAGGGGTTTTGGGGTTTTGGGGTTTTGGGGG